TATACATAGTGAGAGAAAGGGAATGTTCAGTATTGCAAAAGAAGAAAATCACCTTTTTCTGATAGTATTTCAGGAGCCACATATGTTGGGGTTCCACACACAGTGAAAATAGGCTCTGTTACATACACAGCAAGTCCAAAGTCAGCTAGTTTCAGGGTGGCAGATCCATCAGGATTTTTCTGTACCTAAGGGGAAAAAAATCACTTTAGAAATATGCAGACATACCTGTCCGTCATTTAAATAAATATTGAATGTAAAATTAATTTTTCTGTAGTCTAACTATGGAAAAAACAAATAATGCTATGCTAAACAATGAAAGCTGTGGTATCCCCTCACATTGGTGGACAGTTTAATTACCTTTTATACTGACGGTCAGTAAAATGTTCCTTTACATTGGTGGTCAGTGGTGAAGTGCCCTCTTATACTGCTGGTCATTGCAGTGCCCCTGTTACATTGAGGGTCAGTGTTATGCCTCAGTTACATTGATGACCAGTGTAGTGCCCCACATTACCTTGGTAGTCAGTGTAATGCCCCCTGTTGTATTGGTGGTCAGTGTAGTGACCCTGCTTTAAACTGGTGGTCAGAGTACCCCTTACGCTGGTGTCACTGGTGAAGTGCCCCCTTACATTGGTGGTCAGTGGTAGCTTAGCTAATCATTGGTGTCAATAGGTTACTTACCTGAGAGACTAAAGACTAATAGCTCAAAGTCCCATGTCATTGGCTCCAACTCTGCTAAGTCACATCAGTGCAAGAACTATACAGGCGCCTTTGGACAAGAGATCAATCCACCCAACGCTGCCTGAGATTCACCTTATTAGTGGTGGCTCACCTTCCCCTGATATGCCACTGCTAAGGAGATATTTTTTGGGGCCTGGACCTTAGAAACACTATATTCAGTTACACTTACAACATTCACTATCTCTAAAGATTTTTTATTTCCTCCCCACATTTGGGTGGGCTTCCCCTGACTTCAAATTTTCTCCCATTATTGAAAAAACTACTAGTAAGTCAATTGGCTTTAACCCCAAACTGGGCCTAGTGACTTTTTCCTGTGTCTATGGAAGAGACATTAAACAGTGAACTCAACCGAAAAGCAGGGGCTAATGTTTCTGTTATTACACTATATACATAAATGAGGACTATCCAATCTGATTTGACATTTTTTTCAAAAGGACAAGCAAATTATACAGCTCTCATAAATATGAAAACATTACAAGTAGAAGGTGGCAAGGTGTGTTCTGTTCACCTGCACCACGAAAACAGCAGTTACAGAAACACAACAGTCTGCATGAAATCTGTATAAAGTCTATTCGATTTATTCCGGTTTCCTGGTTTTGTGAGAGCAGCTCCTTGATTCCTAACACTAAAAACATATAGGAGACTTAATCAAGAACATTATAGAAGGTTAGATGCATATTGTGTCTAAACTGCACTGAACACAAAGTGCCTTATCTGTTTAGATTACTTTTTCCTGCATGGAATTCAATTACTGAGTCATAGTATATCACTGCTTTACTAAATTTGATAATTTATAACAGGTGCACATATGCAAAGTGATATGCCTTTAGAAACCATAAAAACTCACCAACAGGTTCTCAGGCTTAAGGTCCCTGTGTACAACATTCTTGCTGTGGATATATACTAAAGCTTTGCACAAGTCAGTCATCATAAGTGCTGCATCATGTTCAGTAAATTTAATGCTCTCAGTAATAGCATCAAATAGGTCCCCCCCTTTAATGTACTCCAATACCAAATAAATGTCATTCTCAGTCTCAAAATCATCAATTAGTTTTACTATATTTGGGTGGGAAAGCATTTTTATTATGCTAACTTCATTTTTAACGATATCCTCCTTTCCTAATAATTTAGCCTTATCAATAATTTTCATGGCATACTCTTCATTAGTTTTTCGATGTCTACACTCTTTAACAACTGCAAAATTTCCATCTCCAATAGTCCTGCCAATCTCGTAGTTTATTTGTATATCCGGATAGTCTTTTATACAACATGGTCTGCTAGTGCTACAAACTGCCTTTTCCTCTTCTCTTTTCAACACTCCACCTTCAACCTTTTGTTCTGTTGAGTCAATATTGTTCATTATGTCCCTTTTACTGTTGGATTCATTGTCCGCCACTGTTTTGTCATCTTTTATTTGTATGTTTTCCTTTGTGTCTTCCAGAAAATCCTCAATAAGTCTACCACTATGGTTTAATGTTATGAAGTTGGAATGTTTTCCGCCCCATTTTCTTCTGTCTCTTTGGCATTTATTCTTAAGGCACTCATGTCTTTGCATACTATGACTGTGCATTCTGGAATGGAGACAATGTGTTTTCTCATACAGTTCTATGCTGCTGTCCCCTATCTCCTCTACTTCATTACAATCTCTTTTGTTCTTACATCTGTGAGGACAGTTGGTACATTTTAGAACTGGCTTTTCTTCCTTACAGCTTTCCATCGCCAATTTCCTACACTTATCATTCAAAGCAGCATTGTCTGATTGTGTATCTTTGTTCATTTCAGTGTATATTCTATGTTTAATTGTATATTCTTTACATTTCTCACATTGGTTGCCAATATTTAAAATTGAAGGCAACGGTTTATTTGGTTTGCAATGGCAAAGTTCAAGATTTTTCATTTTTCCAGACAAATGTTCTTGATCACTTTTGATTTTTTCTTGTTTTTTGCTTTTCCTGGTCTCATCTGCCTTTTGTTTGAGTCGACCCTTAACATCATGTTTGGTTGTCAGTCTTGGAGATATAGGGTAACATTTGTTGACCAAGTCGGTGTCTTCATAACCACTATCTATAGTTTGTCCATTATCATTTAATTTGCATCCCAGTCTTTCACAATGATCTGCATTCTGTCTTAAAGGCCTATCAGGATAAAGTTCATTAAACACCATTTCAATGCATTTCAGGGTCAGCTGTTCTTTACCCAAAGCTATAAAAGTGTCATCGCCACGAAAGAAATCACATACACTACGTATTTCTTTGCCTTTTAGGTTATACAGTTTTCTTACATGGTCATTTTTCCACCTAGGCAATCCCAGAGCTTCAGATATATCAGCAATAAGCTGTTCAAAGGTCTGCACTGACCTTCTATTAAGCAGCAAAGTGATTTTCTTAAGGGGGTATTTTCCTGGCTTAACTACAGTCACAATTCTTGGTTTTATTGGGCTGTTCTCTGAATGTATTGTGTGAAAACCATTTCGAGAGTGGAAATATGGAGATGCATAGCTGTTTAGTCCATGGAATGGCTTTCCATGTGTTGCATGGCCTATAGGTGGACATGTTACTTGGTGTTTTCTCTCTGTAGACGTTGAGTTTATATTGTTAACAAAATGATGAAAAAGTGTTTGATGGCCTGAAAGAATGCAAACAAAGATGTTAAATAAGAAAAGAGAATTGCACTATAAAAATATCCAGTACAAAATGCAAGGTACCCAGTTCTGTGGCATTAAAGACACTCCAAGCAAAAAAAAAAATAACATACATTACACATTTAAAGATGAAATCTAAGCAAACAACTAAATACACAGATTAAAAACATACAATATATGGGAGCGGTTTTACCTTCTAAAGGGATATTACTCCTGTCTAGTGATTCCTGAAATGTACACACCCATAGCAGACAACGCAGTCATGCTGATTACCTGATTTTGTCTATGCCGCTGTTAAAGCAATACAGCCTGGTGAAATCCCTGCCTGTAACTGGACAAAGAAGGAGCAGCAGCAGGCTGATGAGCTCATCCCTCTGTTTTCTCTTCCTTTTAGTCAGCCCATGTGTGCATCTAATTGGTCTCTAATACTGCACAACTCTCCCAGTCTGAGTTCCATTGTATATGGGATCACAAGAGGCAGATACCGAGCTAAATTCATGTACTTACACTAGTTACATTTAAAAATACATGTATGATAACATAACCGCATTAATAGGTGTAATTTTATTTTGTATTATCATGGGTTCAGCTTTAAAATATGTTTTTACAGCAGATAGTGCTTCTGTCGTTCCATCAGTCTAAATTCTGTCAATCACTACATGTCCCCATTTTTTAAGCCTCATATATTTCTATACAGAGGTTCCGCCTGGCCCCTAAATGATCTCTTATAATGAATACATTGTGAATTTAGTACAACAACATTTTTCCTGCCCAGAGCCTGAACAAGGTACAATTTGACCTAGAATCTGAATTACATTTAGAGGTATCTGTGACAAGTAACATTAACACAGAGCACTGTTATTTGCTCCTCTCTGTTGGAGATATGCATGCCTGATCCGCCTGATCCGCCTGCTCCTAATGAACAAGTTTTAAATACTGCTGTTACTTTGCTTAAGTTGCACACATTCCTCCATTATGTGCAAAGTGTAATCTACATCAGGTAATATAAGATCAGTAATGACACTGGCGGTTTTAATGTAAATAATTAACAGGGCCAGTGAAGTGTAAGAGAATGGTACAACTAGGGCTGAACTCAATAAGAGAATGATCTGTACTGTAACTAAACTCTCCTTATTACATTTGCATAGTGTGATGGAAATAAATCTTATCACAGGCATTCCATTTCAGCAAGTACATTTTACATAGGGAAAGTTTATACCATCTCAAACCATCAAGCCAAAAACTTCAATTACTTTAATGCAATTATGACTTAGTAATCCTGATTTTATTCCAAGTATTATTACAAGTCCCATATTTATTTGCCTCTTTTATAGCTTGCTGCTAAAGCACCTTACAATGATAAAAACTCTCGTAAGAACAGATGGTAAGATTATACTGTCTTGCCATTAAGAAGCCTCATTTGGCAATCGCTGGCCCTTTACATCATTGTTACACAGTAACAGGATATATTATTTCTTTTGAATTCAAGTGTCCAGGTCAGCTCTTGTTCAGTGGAAAAGAGGCTTTAGCTCTTATCTTAGTTGTATAAGAAACACATTCTCTACTAGTGTGTTACATCTACAAATAAGGATATTTGTAACAGGCTCAGGGGTATATCTGCTTGTTAAATTTAAAGCTAAAGGAATAGTAATGGTTAAACAAAATTTAGGAAGTAGTGTGAATTATTATTTCTACTTATATTGAACCAGTCATGACATAAACATTTCTAAGATACAGCAATAAGGCTAATTACTACTATCGCCACGAGCAGAGATATAAGAGAAGGCTTTTACTGGAGCTCTCTCTCTCAAACTTCTGTCTTGGAGTTGGCTGGCTCTCGCCCCCCAAGAGATAGTGAGAAGCCTGAATATTTTGGTCACTGACTGAGTTTAGTTGGCTGTAAGATCAGGTCTGCCTGACCCATCTTGTTTAGCTGACCACCAAGAGTGATTGATCTAATCAATTTTGTCAACTGTTTGTCCAGGTCTAGCAGATCCAGATGTACAATCTGCTTGTAAAGTAAAGCTCTCTATCTGCCAAAAAGAGTACACATTCAGCAGGAATAAAATGTATGCACTTTTGCGTACCTTCGCATATATTTCAGTTAATTCTCATGCATTTCATGGACCTTTGAAACTAGGGGAATTCTGATTTACCCTTCCAACTTATATATGTCCTGGGCTTTGGGGATTCAGGAGTGCTTGGGAAGTGGATGAAAGGTATATGCAGGTAACTGAAGTATTTATTCCTCTTGCAAATTTACATTGTATAGGTGCCCATACACCTTACAATTATCTGCAGACAAAAGTGCAACGGATTGGCCCAGGTGGAGATTACTCCATCCACACAGTTAAAGGAGAACTATGAGGTGAGTGCTTTTCACTCATCTCATAGTTCTAGCCGACATGTGACAATGAGACTGTCACAGGTCGGCTCAGTAGATCGGGAAGTGAGCGAACACATACTGGCGTTCGCTCACTTCTTGATCCTGTCACAGCTCTCTGCTATGACAGGGGAGTGGCTGGATTCCCCCCTCCCCGCTCCAATCCTCCAGCGCTGACTGGCGGAACGGATGGGGGAGGGGGCGGGTAAAGCTGGCTCTGCCCCTAGATAGGCAGAGCCAGCTGTCACTCACGCAGCTGGGTGGATCCAGACATAATTGTCGGGATCCGCTTCAGCTGCGGCGTCTCAGTATACCGCGAGCTGTAGCTCGCGGTATACTGAGCTTAGGGTGACGGGAGGACGCTAGTTTGTGTCCTCCCGTTACCCTAAGGAGAACTATGGGGAAAATCCCTAACCCCATAGTTCTCCTTTAAGTGTAGATGGAGGAATCTGTTGCACCTTTTCCATCTGACAACAGAAAATCTGCAGATAATTGTAAGGTGTATGACCAGCTTATGAGAGATGAAAAGGCTTACTTTAAAGGTAAAAATACAAATATGGTCATATTATCACCAAATTTTATGTTGGACATCTGCACTTTTTTAATTGTGTATTTTTCTAGAGTTTAGTGTTGGGGAAGCAGACACTTATACTGGAGAAATATTTTGGATAATCATGGCCAGCTATAAATATTTTTTTTTTCTTAAAGTAAATAAGTTTCTAGTGTAGCACCATCATGGGCTCCTCATACCAAATGTGGACAAAAAGTTAGAGCTCATAACTTTGTTGCAAATTGCTTACTTGTACAGTATGTTAATAACTATGGTATACATTGCATTACATATCATTTTCTCAATTATGCAAAAAATTTTGTTTACAGAGGTCAATGGCTCAAGCTAAAATATACTTCTACAAAATCTTATGTAAAGTGTAAAAAATCTTATACAATGGCAAGACTGAGTACAGCAACAACACACAGGGTGGTCTTACTGCATCAACTTATCTTTGCAATTGGAACATTTCAAGTGGCGCCATTTGCTGAGACTTGGTAGAAACCAGTGGAACCCTGGCACACCCCTCTACAGATGTTTGGTTAGAAGTGACCTTCATGGAAGACTTGTGGCTAAAAGGGGGGGGGGTGTCCCTTCTTTTTGGTGTCCCGCTTTGACCGGTGTTCCACCTAGCTTACTGACATCACTGGTTGCCAAGAGCTGGGCAGGATGCCAGCCAGGGTGTCCCATTTAGCTCCTGGCAACCAGTGACATCAGTGAGTGATGACGGCCAGAGCGTCCCAGGTTGCTAAGAGCTCTTAGCAACCTGGGACACTTTGGCTGGAAAGGGGAGGCAGGCACACCTGCTATCCCTCATGTGACCCAATTAGATGCCGCCTGAGGAAACTGCCTCAGGTAGCCTCATTAGAGGGTGAGCCCTGGTACAGACTAAATAGACAGCATTGCAGGAGTAGGAGTAGGCCAAATTTTAAAATTCACACAACACATGCAGCTGTTTAAGCCAGGCAGTCAGTCGGATCCTGCATTATCTTATGCTGTTGTTCCAGCCCATGAATTTCTGCCAATAGGGTTTTTATAGACTGTTCTCTATCTTTCTTTATACGTGCCCCATGGGCAATTGGGACCCCTCGCACTACACTCTTAAGTGCTTCCCATTTTATTGGTAATGATGTATTATCGTTTGAATGATCAACTATAAAAATGTTAATAGTGCCAACGACTTCAGCCATCACTATGGGGCCCTGTAATAAGCTCTTGTTCAATTGCCACAAGGACACAGGTTTAGCCAATCCCGATAGATATATCGAGAAATACACCGGGACATGGTCTGGCCAAATCTGTGTCCCAATCTGTGCTTGGGGAGACCAACTCAACATACAATGTGACACCAAAAAAAAAAAAATCTGCTATATGTTGAGTGTGTTGCAGAGTGACAAGTATAATCTCTGATAGCCAGGTTTAAAACCCGCCAGATATCTACCAATTGCAAATAATGCAGTCTTTTCTTTAATTAAGTTATTTATTTGTGATAGTGAAATATGTTGATTTCCCCCAACTGTATCAACTGCTGAGTCAAGCGTAAAATTAAAATCTTCTCCTAATACCATTACCCCCTCTGCAAATTCTTCCAGCCTTGTCAGAATTGATGTAAACATCCTTGCTTGACCTTGATTCGGCATGTATAAGTTAGCTAATGTACATACTTTATTATTCAGTCTACACTTCCAAAAAATATACCTGCCTTCTTCATCTATTATCTCTTGTATCCTTTCAAAAGGTACAAAAGCATGAATCCCTACTGCTACTCCTCTCGATTTATTATAGTGGCAGTTGCTTGTAAACCAATGGGAATAATATTTAGTGCCTAAGGAAGGGGCTCTTAGATGTTGAAAATTAGTTTCCTGTAAAAAGAGCACTTGGACATGTTGCTTATGGATATAATATAGCACCTGTAATCTTTC